GATCATGGAAAAGGACAGCGCTCTCCGGTGAGTTATTTAACCTTTTTCAACTTTTATTAGTATTATTAGCCTATTTAATTACAGGTATCTGATGGTCACTACAGTTTGTAAAGCTACTAAACAAGTTAGCACTAGTAGAATATTGTGCAAAGTTCCAAACATTAGTTTACATAAACAAAACAAAGGAATTCAACATGGGAGCATTTTTGTCACGTTCTGTGACATTTTTGCCTTGATTCCTGTTTCATTTTTGACCCGTACTATCATTTAAAATTCTGATGAATGAAATAAAAGATTTATATTATGATCAGGATATTGTTAATTATCTTTTGGTTTCTTTCAGTGTAAATGTGACAAGCCTGTTTGTAATCAAATGCTTCTTTGCTTGCGCTCAGAAATTATGTGGCACTAACTACCCAGTTAGCATTGCCTTCATTGCGGTCAACGAGTTCTGTGAAAGATTCTCTTACTATGGAATGAAAGGTAATTAAATTGAAAAATGTTTGACATTTTTGGGAAAAAATATATTTTTGCACATTTAAAGAAAATCTCCGTCATCTGATATCACTTTTTTCATTAATATATTAATGTATTTGATGTATAAAATATTATGCATCTTATTTATAAAGCTATCATGGCCCCTCATGGTGCTCACACTTTACTCCATGTCTCCATCCACTGCCTGAACTGGGACAAGAATCTGTCTACAGCTGTGTACCACGCTTTCTCAAGCCTGTGTTACTTCACTCCGCTTCTGGGGGCCGTGATAGCTGATTCATGGTTGGGGAAGTTCAAGTAAGTCATGTAGTGCTGTATTACAGAAACATCCGAACTCAGAATCTTATCATACCTGCTTTGTAGCTATGGTAATTTTACATTTTGAAAATTTGAAAAAGTTATATTTCTTAAGAATTAAGATAAGTCTCTGTAATACAGCCTCTAGTGTTATACTTAATACTTAATGCCTGTTAATTGTACTTAATAGAAGAATTATAGGAAAGTTGATTTGAAAATATTTTTTTCCCCTTCTGTTTACAGAACCATCATCTATCTGTCTATAGTCTATCTATGTGATTGGCCATGTGGTCAAGTCCGTCGGTGCCATTCCTGATGTGGGGGACAGCACTCTTCATATGTAAGCTTCTTTTGATGCCAGCCAGTGTGTAGCATGCTGCTGTGAGACCGCACAGTAAATCTGTTTCAAGTTTCAAGTTTTTGGAAGGAAAAATACCATTTTGTTCTTTCCTTGTAGAGTTTTGTCAATGCTTGGTCTGGTCCTCATAGCTTTTGGGACAGGAGGGATCAAACCATGTGTTGCAGCATTTGGTGGTGACCAGTTTGATGAATATTTGATGATATATATATAGTACATTTATTTTAATAAAATAAAACAATACATTATCAGTAATTTAAATCTTTTTTTTTTCTGAATTTTCCATCTTAACTTGTTTAAAGGGGTCATATGATGCAATTTCATTTTTTCCTTTCTC